TCGCACACAAACTCAACCAACGTCTCGCTCCACGTCGGCAATAGAACAGCACAACGCCCACCGCAACCGGACATAAGGACACCGCCTGCCACTACCACTACCGCCTGCCACTACCAGCGAGGCGTCCGCGGAGCAGGTGGGGACGGGAGAGGGCAGGGGAAGCAGCAGCGTGGGAATGGACGGACCCGTGGGTCATACAGCGCTCTTTTTCCCTGGGATGCTTATGTGTTAGCTGGTAGTAATTGGATGGTAGTTTGGCGGTTGGCACACCGAGACCTGCAGTCCAGCGCCCCTGTCATTGCCATGTCATTGTTCCTGGTGTGTTCGGTCTGTCTGCCTGTCTGTCTGTCTGTGAGTCAGTTTATCTATCTGTCTGTCTCGTTGCGTGCCGTTGTCTCGGCTGTTGACGTGTTTTGTCGTGTAGCTATTTCCCAAAGTCCCGTCACCTCCCATGAGGCCACATTGGCAAGTTGTTTAACGTGCGTTTTTGTTTTAGTTATTTGCGTATATTTGTATGTGCTTCTGCATGAAAAGGTAGCAGCAGCGCGCGGAGGAGCACACTCAGGCAGCGGGCGAACTGCTGCAGGGAGCGGGGGTCGCGGGGTGCCAGGCAGCGGAGCAGGTGCTGGAATGGCAGCTTGCGGATGCAGTACTGCAGCGGCAAGACCAGCCGCTAACGTTGCACGTGCCTCCGTCGCCGCCGTCGCCGCTGCCTCTGCCTCATACTCATCATCAGCAGCAGCATAATGGGCAGCAACACAAGCAGCTGCAGCTAGAGCTGCAGCAGCCTTCGGAGGTACTGGAGCCGCCCCCACCGCTGCCGCAATAGCCGCCGCTGCAGCAGCACCAACACGACCGGGGCCTGGGGCAGGAGACACATCCTCTGTCACGCCCCCATCCTGGATCAGCAGAAGTTCCTGGATGCCTACCCGCCAGAGATGGCTGCATTTCATAGCAGTGGTCGCATCAGCAAGGTGCTGACCGCGACCTACGAAAGCCTGAAGCCCAGGCGCAGCGGCGGCAGCAGCCGCAGCAGCCAGCGGGGCGGCAGCAGTGGCGGCCAGCGTGGCGGCAGCAGTGGCACCCAGCGTGGCGGCAGCAGTGGCGCCCAGCATGGCAGCAGCAGCCCTAAGGCACTGATTGGGTCGGTAACCCATGGGTGACCCATCGGTTACCCACCTTCAACCCCCCGTAGCCCATTGGTAACCCCCTTGTAAGTTCCTACCCAGCAGGAGGGGTAACACGGCCCCAGGGTAACCCCCCTCCGTTGCCCTGGACTATGGACATGGGCCTATAGGCTACTCATCTTATTTGCTGCGCACTTCGTGAATTCATTTTAAGGCACTTCGGTAAATGTACAGGTAACATGTACATGTTGAACCTACAGTATCCCGGTAGCTCGGGAAGCATCGTTCGCCAATATGAATTAAAGGCCTCTAACGCTGCAGGAAAATTTTAGTAGAAGATTTAGAACTATGTATGTATTCAGTTTTAGCGTTTGTTCCCGCTTTGAGGGCATGAAACTCCCGTGCCGTATTATTGTCCCTAATAAGATTATTCATTCGCATTCATACAGTTCGAAGTGGATTGGGGAACGCAATTTAGCTTGAAATCCATTGTGTCTCTGGCTAGTTCTGAAAAGAAATCAATCATGGATTAACAAGTTTCGGTCAATCGCAGACGCCTCCGCGCCAGGCTCTGCCAGCTGCAGGCTTGTGGCAAACGGCCGCTGAGGGGCGGCTGGACAGCCGGCGGGCCGGGACGGGGTTGGTTCGGTCGAGTCTTTTAGCCTAGTAGTGTGGCCTTGGGAGCTCAGAAGGGATAGTGCTTGGTGTAGGGGGAAACTAGTCAGCTGAGCCTGCAGGGATCTTCCCGGGTTCAGGAGGTAGCTACCTCTATAGATGTCGCCACATGAGAGTCTGAGAGTTGTTCGAAGTTCTTTGGATAGGTTTATGTGTCATGCGCGTGTTGCCCCGCTGAGGGCATTGGTGGGCAGCACGAGGGGGGTATAGTGGCCGTGGGGCTGGGGTTGTGTTTTTCTGCAGTGTAAGGACCCTTAGCAACTTGTTTCCGCCTTCCCATATCAACCATCCAGGAGAACAGAAATGAAGAGGCCACGCGTACGTTGGTAATTTAATTTATCCCAGAATCCCAGCCCAAAATAACCGTCATAGCTTAGATTTGAACCTGAGTGGAATCCGGAAGAGTTCATTCTCTATGGTATCACTTCAGTAAAAATAACTACAGCGGTTGAGGCAAGTCTAAGGTCGTAACAAGCTTATGTGCGACAAGCATGTGCTGTCCTGCTTGCCTGCAGAAACGCTGGCAAGTTCTTTTATTATTGCAAGGACAACTAGGGGGGGGGCTAAGTTTTATAAACAGTTGGGCACATCTGTTGGCGGTAGTACATCCTGTGTGCAAGACTGCCCCATCCCCAGTTGTGAGCCTCCGCTTCTGGCTCGTCTCGTTCACCTGTTGCTGTTTCATTATCGCCTACCCCGTTGGATACGGCCTCGTTGGTAATGGCAAATCCGTTTCGTCTGCGCGGACCTCGTCGCTAGTGCAGCTTATGTGTCAGGATGCTGCTGTCTTTGCGGCTCTGAACTGCTGAGCCTCGTCGATTCTGTAACACAAAGACTAATTGCCTCTGCACCGATTGTCTCTGCACTTATTCCGTCCACTCGCATACTCCACACTTCTGAATTCGAGCAGCTTCAGCGAATGACTGGATTAGTTATGTGCCCCAAATTCAGTTCGACTCCACACAGCCTTCTGTCTTCCAGCTGTGCTGGGCATCACGGTTTCGTTCATCCGCCTCCTGCTTGCGCTCAGGAGTATCTGCACTGCATTCAACATCAGGTGGTTTTCTGTTGCCGAAGTGGGTTGCTGATAAGTGTCGTTCTTCGCTGTTCGGCATGACTCAGCTTCGTACCACACTTGTTATCACCTGTACGATGTTGTTGCTGCGATAGGAAAGCATCGTGGCTCTGCTGGGTTAACTGGTCGGGTCGAGTTCTGGTACGACCCTCATTACCTGCTTCCGATGCTAACGTCGCTCCCTTGCCCTTTCTCCGTTTCTAAAGTTTTGACTACGCAGTTTCAAGGTAAACCGACCCCTCCATCCTCATCGACAGGCCTTCAGCCCTTTTGAGTGCAGGTTTTGCTCGTCGTGGGTTTGGTTACCAAACCCACACCAGCGTTATTTTACCAGCGTTATTTTTTTGCGGAATATATTCCGAATTCGGAATAAAAAATTGTTCGTGGTCCTGAAAGTTAAGAAAAAATAATGTTCCGACCGTACAAGTTCATTCCTCCAGCCAAAAATGGACTGTCCATGCCAAAGCCGCTAGAATCTTGTAGGAGACATACATGTTAACCATATCATAGTACTTTAGTGCCATGGATACTGTTAGGAAGCTCACGCTAGGGTTTAACAGGGCTACGGCTAACTTAAAGCAGAGGTTTTGGCCGGTGAATAGTACAGCGGCTGGAGGGTGGGGGGGAGGGGCTTTTCAATCGCTTGCTGCTGCGGCGCTATGTCGTGTCGTTGTCGTCTTAAGAAGTCTATTTATGCACGGGTATTTATATCATAAACGTTTTGGACGCATCATCTCATTATTTTTTCGGTTGTTCCATCCAAAATTCAAAAGTACGCTGTACACCAGGGTTGGACAGGACCTTCCTGAAATGGTCGGGTTGCCGGTTTTCCCCTTCCCATGCCCGTCGGGCCCACCCGATAGCGTTTTTGCATATCTTTCAATTTCTGTCGGGTGCCCCGATAGCCCATCCCAAAACCTGTCGGGTGACGCAAGAACGAAATTTCGTTGTGTGCCGCTTGAAACTACATTTATTCGTATTTTATATGCGCAGTTTCCAGTTCTCAGTTTGCAGTTCACAGTTCTGATATGCAGAACACACACACACACACACACACACACACACACACACACACACACACACACACACACACACACACACACACACACACACACACACACACACAGCAACACATGCACGCCTGCACGTCTGCCTGTGAGCATCAAGCTGTTTTGGTAAAGCTCACAGACTTACAGGACGAGGCAGCAAACGTTCAAAAGGGTAATGTAAAGCTGCATATGGTCTTTGTATTAATTGTCAATAAGGTCGAGATAAGGTAGTGTGCCCTTCGCTTATGTATCCAAGCATGGATCCCTGTACAGCAGAGTCAAAGGATAAAGAAGAAGAGGCAACGAAGTGAACGAATGCTACCACTACATTACATATTTCCATCCAGTTATATTTGTATGAATGCCATTATGTATCGCTGTAGCTGTCCGTCGCCGAAGGGCCCACCGACGACCCACGGCACCCGATCAGGCGGTCCTAGCGCCCCTAACCCTGTCGGGCCCCCCGACGGGAGCCCTCCGGGCCCCGTCGGGGGCTCCCGATGGCCGTTTGGCATTTTCCCCCTTTTTCGTCGGGTCCGCCCGAAAGCATTTTTCAAAGCCTGTCGGGATTTTCAGCACAAGTGCCATTCCTGTCGGGACCCGATCGGACTGTCGCACCCTGCTGTACGCTGTGCGCGATGGTTCCGAAGGAAGGCCCTCCCAAAATTTTAATTTACTGTTGTTGCTGAGCTGAATTGAATTGAGTTCCCACCACACAGTTGTTTTGGCTGTAGTGGCTGTGGACGACAACTCTCATGCAAATGGCGTCCTCACCGGGTTACCGTACTCTGACGTTTCGGCCGGGGTGTGTATGTGGTGTGTACGTGAAAGTGCCTTGCAAGGCCAACTCGGGCCGTCGTTCCAACGAGTTGTATAATTCGCAGTTTGACACATGCTAAATATTAAATAGAAGCACCGAACCGATGCACCCACCATCGCGATTTGCCCATGACCGCCTAACAACTGCCGGTCAACATTATTTTACGCTTCACAATGATGATTGGATGATATCATCGCGGCTCGGAAGAATCATTAAAACACACACACGCACGCCAGGCTGTATACGCAAAATCAAAAGCCCCAACCGCAGAACGTTTTCTCCAACCCACAAATGCCACCAGTAGCACTACCGCCGCTACCGCCAGCCGCAGCACAGGCCAGCGCGCTGATTGGCTTTCAAGCGCACATGCATACGTATGACCCGCACCGCACCCTATATGCCACTCATGCCATGAAGCACCACCACTACTACCACCACCACCACCACGATCTATCTTCCTCTGGCAGCGCACAGCCTTCTCGGCCCCCCTCACCTCATGGCTCCCAGGTATGTATGTATGTATGTACGGGCCACACACACCCCCTAGGTTACACCTTTGGAGGGTATAACGCAACTCTAGGAAGTGTAAGGAACACACACACGCGCATACACACATACACACGCATGCACACATGCACGCACACACATCACCATTTTCACGAACCAACTCCCACACCAGCATTCGTTCACACACACCATGCAGTCTCCGATCATGCGTGAATAAGCCAGTTCCATTGCCGCCTCCGCGTACCCCATACCCACACCATCCGAGACCCCCCACATCCCCCTTTCAGCCTCATTCAGCCCCCCATCCTGAGTGTACGGCACTTGTGCCGGCGACAACACACAATGCGACAACGGCACCTCCGCTCTGGCATTGCGCGACGTTGAGCAACGTCGCACCGAGGGCCACCACCGCCACCACACACACCGCCCAGCTACAGCCACAGCCACAGATGGAAAGGTATAACCAACAGCCTGCCGCTCTCACTCCAAAGAACAACTCCCAGAAATCTATATTCAAACGATTTCATTCATTATATTTTATATAATTTATATTTTCCTCCTCGTACATCGTTTCCATCCTTGTATATAAGCTTCTGTCCGTTGCCGGATCATAATAAAAACCAACCTCTGCAACCATTAATTAACAGCTCCCCGCCACCTGTACAGTGTTTTTTTAAGTAATATATTACTTTTAAGGAATAAAGAGGCCTTTTTGGCCTTTGGAAATAAGGAACAAAGTGAGGCCGATCCGTACATTTTCATTCCTTCAGCCAAAAACGTCCATTGCTGCCAGATTGCTCCGTAGTGTGCAGAACTTAGTATTATTGATCATAAAATAGATATGAGGGGCCGTAAGAAGGTCAAGCCCGTGAGTCAACGCGGCATAGCAGAATGTATGACCGGTCCTTCCATAGACAAACACGCAAAAGGCAACGACTTGAACGCCGAACAAACACAAAAACAGCAAGATAAGTCTAAAATTTTTCCTGATAAAGGCGTTTGGGACGGCGGTGCTGTTGTCGGTAATGCATCGGCAATGTTGCTGCCAGCGGCGACCGATGACACGGGCGCCATTACCCCTGCCTTCCATGGCGGTTGTGATCAGCATAAGCGCAAGCTGTCACCCAATCAGCTTGACAACAACGAATGCGGCGAGGCGCCCAACCCGAGTGCTCGCAGTGCCAAGCGGGCTCAGACACAGCGCATCCGCAAGGGCATGAGCACCTAGCATTGTGTGTGCGGATGTTTACCCAGGACCTGTTCGACCTGGGCACGTTCCCGTTCCATGACGCACTGAGGAAGTGGCTGGACAGCAGCAGCAGGGGCCGGTACATGATGAACCGGTAGAGTCCCAGTGTGCTGTGGTTTGCAGTGGCGGGTGACGGCCTTTGATTTGCTATGCGGTTGCTTGCTTTGGGCCTTTGCTTGGTCGGATTTACTTTTTGTTCACAAACAGTGCCAGAACTATCTATGCATGTGCATGAAGCGTGCGCACATGAACGAAAACGCGCCAACGCAGTGCGTGCCTCTTGGTCTATGAGGGGAGTTGTAATTTATCGGGGGGGTCTGGGGGGGGCGTAGCCCCCCCCAGCGCCCCACTCTTAAGGAATACATAACGGCGACGCTAGCAACTTTGTTACTTAGGTTGGAATAAATTGAGACCCCCCCTAAATGAAAAAAAAATCACTGCACCTGTAAACTCCGTCCCGAGCGGAGCGACGAGCCGATCAACACCTTTTCCTCGAAGTGTGAAGATTCCAGAGAGATTCGTTGCTTTTACGGCAGTGCCGTACCGTACACGTCACCACATCAAACATGCTGCGTGATTCCTGCTTGCTGGATCTGGACCTGAATCTGGAATCTACGTAGCCTGACTCACCTTTTTGAGTTTTAAACACACATCGCCTGGATCTGGATTTCGATCTGGAACTGAATCCTGCCAGGACGCACCCGTACACAATCTTTGCCTGTCTTTCCCGCCCATCTCCGCCCATCGGCGCGCAGATTTATACCACAGATAAACTACTGTTCACATAATCTCTATATATAGTATAGCCGTTTTGGTGATGTGTACGTCGTTGTACGTCGGCGGCGGGCCAGATGGGCCCCCTAGGGATTCGTTCCGTCGTATGTCTGTCTGTCTGTCTGTCTGTCTGTCTGTCTGTCTGTCTTACGCACTGCTGGCCCCGGCTCCGTGACCTTGCGTCGACGGCAGCATACTCGACCCCGTGAAGGAGTCCCCTGCTGCTCCTGTCGCTAGAGAGCCCAGCTCTGGAGGGGGGGGAGGAGGGGGAGGAGCGGGAGGCGGCGGAGGACCAGGACCAGGAGCAGGAGCTCGTTGCAAGACCGGACTGATGAGAGCCGCCGGCATGCGCTGTGGCGGATGCGGCGGCGGCGGCGGCGGCGGCGGTGGCAACATCAACGGTGATGACGGCGGCGTCGCCACCGGCACTGCCGTCGCGACGGCGGCCATGAGGCGCTCCAGGTGCGCCTCCACAAGGATCGCTGGCGGCCTGTTTTGGGGCTGACGTTGCAAGCAATGAAGCGCCACTGCCCGGTAGGTCTCCGGGCACGAGGGTGGGAAGGCGGGGAAGATGCTGCTATAGCGGGGGCCTTGGTCGGTGCGGATGCCGGCGCGGCGGCCGTGGTAGAGCTCCCATAGCATCACACCCAGCGAGAACACTTGGGTGGTTGCATGTATGTATGTGTGTTGTGTGTGTGGGGGGGGAGGTAGGGGTATAGCGGTGTAGTGATGTAGACGACGACAAGCGGGACGGGGGAAAGGGGGGAGGGGGAGGGGGAAGGAAGCCGGTCAGGGAGCGGCAGAGAGAGAGAGGAAGAGCGGGAAAGGTAAGGGGAAGGGGAAGGGGGAAATCGGAAATGGGAGAGCAGCTGGATTAGAATGGCACCTGGATTCGAAACGGCGACTTCAGACAACGACGGACCCACAGCAGCAATCTTCATGTGAACACTGCTGCTGCTGCCTGTTCGCGCCACTACTCTGCTACGGCTGCCCAACGTTTCCAACCACCCACTCACCGTCTGATGGCGGCCCGACTTGGCCCTGAAGATGGTGGTGGCGGTGGGGCGGTTGGTGATGGTGGGTCCAACAGCGGCCCCAGCAAAGCCAAGTTATCAAGCGCAGGGGAAAAAAAGAGGGAGAGTATTCTCACGAAGGGAAGAGAAGACAAAAAATAAAATTAGAAAGTAGAACCTTATGTTAAATCAAACGCGTACGGTCTTACGAACGAAACTCTATAGACCCGGTGTCCGATTTTTATTAGTTTCAATATTACATAGAAAAGAGGACGGCAGGGGACGGGACGAAGAAGGGACCGCAATTCAACGCGCAAATTAAGAATCAGCTGCCAAAGTCCTAAAGCGACGTCGGGAGTGTTGTACGTATGAGCGTTTGCATGTGTGTGTATGTACGTATGTATGCGTGACGGCAAAGGCCACAAGCTGCAGGGAAAAGTAAAGACGAGCAACCCCGTAGATTACCCCTTCAACTGTAATAATACTTCCAGACAGTCGTTGTGCTGTGCTGTGCTGTGCTGTGCTGTGCCGTGCTGTGCTGTGCTGTGCTGTGCTGTGCGTGCATGCAATCATACGTGCATTCATGCATTCCTTCATGCACATGTACTTTTTGATAATAAATATGAAAGAGTTGACTGTGAGATTGCCGCGTCTATAAAAATGGTCCTGTTGTCGTACCCTGTCGTACCTTCATGACTACTGCAGGGCACATGTAAAACATGGTGCCCATGCGCAAGTTGCTCAGGTGGGTTCGATTCTGAGGCAGCATTACACTGCGGTGGGGTGAGTGGGGAGTGGCAAGTGGGTGGGAAGGGGGTTGGGCGGGCGGGCAACCAGACATAGAAATGCTGTAAAAGCTTATTTATATATAAAATATAACCCAAACCACCAAATTAAAACAAAGCAATATTTTTTTCTCTTCTATTCAGCCCTTTCCTTTATTTATTTAATATTTCATGTGTTATTTCTCCTCATTTAAAGGAAGTGAACTTCCTTGTAATAGGATAATTTATAAGAATTTAAAACGATATAACCACCTCGCTTGCACCCACCATCCCTGCTGCTGTCCGCGCGATGAGACACAAGTCTCGGGTTGACGGCGACTTCCGAGCGACGAAGCGAAGTAAGGGGCGGAAGAGGCCCGGCAGGAAGGGGGCCTAGGCATCGACCCCGGTGGCCGACATAATCTTTTGCCACACAGCAGAGCGATAGCTTTTTTTTATATAGCTACCACGACTGCTCCCTTAATGATGTAACTGTCTCTCTAGAAAGTTAATAAGAAATTATCATGCAAAATTGAAAAAAAAACAAAAAAAACATCCTCCCCCTCCTCCTTTTCATCATCCCCGGCCCCACAGCCACCGCCCCACCCCCACCTCAGGCCGAAGTCCCCAACCTTGACGATGTACCCGGACGGCTCGTTCACGTCCCGCTTGAGCAACACGTTATTCGGGTTTAGGTCTGTTGGAAGGAGGCGGGAAAAAGCGGGGGGAGGACCGCCAATGTTATTCAGTGTGCGGCGGCGTACTACTGTCCCCAGCACCTTCTCCGATTCCTCCTCATCCTTCTCACCACCCATGCCGACTTTTGCCGACCATCGGTGGTGACCAAGGGAGTCCTAGGGAGGGGGATTTAGGGTTTTAAAATCTATCTTTACAAAACCCTAAAACCTTAAGGAGGGGGTTGGGAAAGAGAGATGAGATGAGATTTACGACTTCCTGTTGTCAAGCTCTCTTTTTGGCAATACCCCTCACGTCAACTGATGATGGACAGACAGACAGACAGATGGCGACGGAACCCACAAATACTCTCTCTCTCTCTCTCACCAAGTTGACCACGCCAGGCGACGGCCACAGGGCCTTATTGCCGTACAACTTCCTCAGCGGCCCGCCGTCAGCATACTCCTGAATGATGTACAGCCGCCACTCCTGCACGTGATGTCGTACAACACCCGTACGGCACCAGTACGGTGAAAAAAACGACTTATCAACAGCAATACCACTACCACCGGCAAAACAGCAGATATAGTCCTACCGCCCACTTATCGAACCATCCTAACCCCCACAACCACTCAACCAACACCATCAACCACCCACCAGAATCTGCGAGAGGTCCCGCTCCCTCTCCCGCTCCCGCTCCCGCGGCGGCGGCGGAGGGGGCATACCGCCGTCCGGAACCTTCTCCCGCTCGCCGGAGGTCGCGGAATTGGGGCCCGTCACCGTCCCCAGCGCGCCCAGCGGCTGGAGCTCACTCGAGTACGTCGCCTAAAATAAAAACGCGGTTATCGAATCAGGATTTTGAAAACGTGCAGTTTCTTTTTTTAATGGTATTTGCGGTGTGTACGATATGCCGTCCGTGTAGACAGCGCACTGTGTTCAGCACATGCACGGCAGTAGCGCCACAACCTTCACACTAACACATTAACTTGCTAATTCACTGACCCTCACTCACTCACTCACTCCGCCTTGATTCCTGGTCCCCAGCCTCATTCCCCCCACCTCGCCCGGTGGAACCCCCTCCCCCCCCCTCACCACCACGTTAGGGTGGCTGATGCTGGCACACAGCGCCGCCTCCTGCAACGACCTCCGCCTGTTGTCGTCGGAGGCGGAGAACACCAGCGTCTTCACCGCCACGGAGAGCCCCTGCCAGGTGCCTGATCAGGACATACGGAACGGAGGGAGGAGAATCATGATCGTTGGCAAGGAAACACCAAAGATGAACTGCCGGCCGGTGAGGGAGGGCGGCGGCGGGGAAGGGAGGAGGGGAGGGGCACCGAGAGGGCCTTCTTACTAACAATCCACAACATTGCAGTAGCAGTCGCAGTAGCAATAGCAGTCGCAATAGCAGTAGTAATAGCAGTAGCAGTAGCAGTAGCAGTAGCAATAGCAGTCGCAGTAACAGTAGCAGTAGCAATAGCACTAGCAGTAGCAGGTCTTGACGGCTCTTACCTTTATACACGGTGCCGAAGGACCCCGAACCGATGACCGCCTCCAGCCTGATGGCCACATCCCGTACACTCGCCCGCAGCTCCTGGGCCATACGGCCCAGCTCAGCCTGCATGTCGCCAACACCGCTAGAATCAACACCACTGCTGCAGCCGCGGCCGGACGGGTCGCTGCAGGGGCCAAAGGCGGCACCATCGGCGGCGGCGGCGGCAGCGGCTTCACCGTCGCCGACCGCGTTCACGCACTCTTCACCGCCGCCATCGGCGGCGCCGCCGCCACCCTGGTTGTTGGCGTCAACGCGAGTGGACAGGACGCGTCGAAGCAATCCGGAGCCGGCGGCGGTGCCCCCGGACGCGCAATCAGATACAGACGCGGCTTGCCGCGACTGGCCACCGAAGCCGCCGGGACCCCTTCCCAGCATCGGCGATGGTATGAAGTCTGTGTCCGATATCTGGCTGCCGGTGCCGCATCACCTGACGTCATTCGCACCACGGACGTCACCCGCATCACGGACGTCACCCGCATCACGGACGTCACCCGCATCACGGACGTCAACCGCACCACGGACGTCACCTGCACCACGGACGTCACCCGCATCACGGACGTCACCCGCACCACGGACGTCACCCACATCACGGACGTCACCCACATCACGGACGTCACCCGCATCACGGACGTCACCCGCATCACGGACGTCACCCGCACCACGTACGTCACCCACATCACCGACGTCACCCGCATCACGGACGTCACCCGCATCACGGACGTCACCCGCATCACCGACGTCACCCGCACCACGGACGTCACCCGCACCACGTACGTCACCCGCATCACCGACGTCACCCGCATCACCGACATCACCCGCATCACGGACGTCACCCGCACCACGTACGTCACCCACATCACCGACGTCACCCGCATCACGGACGTCACCCGCATCACGGACGTCACCCGCATCACCGACGTCACCCGCACCACGGACGTCACCCGCACCACGTACGTCACCCACATCACCGACGTCACCCGCATCACGGACGTCACCCGCATCACGGACGTCACCCGCATCAC